GTGAGAGAGCGGCAAGGTGGAGAAACACTGAGGTAGGCCTTTTTAATAATAGCACCCCTAATTTGAAACATGCCTTATCGGAGAGGCTTTCTCCTAGGCCACTCAGAGGCTGTTCAAACCCTTACACTATAGTACTATTTCCCAGCTTTTTCCAAGGAACCAATCCCCTAGGACTATATTGATCAAACCAATTTCTTATGTTCAATAGGCGTCCTTTTTTTCCCTCCTTGCAGTAGTAGTTACGTTTAGCAGCTATTTTATCCTGTGCCGGAAGAAAAAGATCCACTCTAAATAATAAAGAACATTGACAAGGGTTTATATAGTTCTGGTGTAACTCTCATGAACGTCTCTGAGCTTTACTTCTGAGTAAATAGAGATTTTCTGGAGCCCTCATCAGATCCTTTTGTATTTCAGAGAATAACCTTAATCATTTCTCCAGCCTTGTACATTTCATCTTCCTGAGTAAAATCACAAAGAGGATTGACGGGGTGGTGGTGGTGAAAGCAGTGGGGTTAAGTTAGTGGCCACATCTTCTTTCATGCATCTTGATTCTTTAAAGCAGCTTTTGTTAATTAGTGGTGCTGCAGGTGCAGTTTACAACTTCAAGTATGTCTACTGAGAATGGTGGATGGCAGTCCTTGGAATCACATTCCCACCCACCTATGGAGACCAGATATATTTTAAATAGAATATTTTTTTACACTGTCATCAAATGAGCTATGTTCCAGGCACCACTCCTGCCATTTCATCTCCCAGAGGCCTTTCAAAACCAAGGAGCTGCCTGGGATTGGCTGGCAGAGAGGCTGCTCAGATGTGATCAGGTCCATAGCCGAAAACACCACTTCTGGCCCTCAACTGATTCACCTGCCAGATTGTTGGGAGGATCCCCAAATGCCTTCTGGAAACCAACAGATTTCATAAGACACCTAGCCCTACAGAAGGAAGAAGCAGTAGTCAATCACACCTAGACCAGGAAGTGATCAGACCACAACAACAGGAATAGGGTAATACCCTCCACATCTGGATCATGCAACAACTGCTCAGAAATGAACATAAGGTCTAATGTGACCACACACATGCATCGCAGCTGAGATAACCTGGGACAAGCCCATGGATGTTGTGAAGGCTATGAACTCCTGCGCTTCAACCTAGAGGATGAAGGCTCCCAGGACTACCGGATGAGGGATCTCCACCACCAGGCCAGCAACCAGGTCCAGGAGCCCAGGGAGGATCCTAAGGAATCCACCAAAATGACTTCCAACTTATTCTTATGGCTAACTGCACATTCACACCTAGCTACTTATGAAACAGTAACACTGGCCACAGATAGGGTGTCACAAAATATCAGTGCCACCCTTCCTCCCTGGCCCTGGTGTCTAGATGGGTGCAGGATCCAAAACCTAGTTGGAGAAATCAACATCAGAGCTCTCTGTCAGCTAGGTTTTGTTAACACAGTAAGATCGGCCTGCTTGTCCAACACCAAATCATTCATGGATGTGGTCTTAGTACAGATAGATCTGGCATTAACCTGCACCAGCTTGAGGCCAGCGCACCAAGGATCCAGCTGCCAGGTTCCCAAGGAGAGTGTGATGGACTGGAATGGAGGAAGGGGGGGTGAAAATGGTGCTCTGGTCTCCAGAGCAACGCTCTGGAGATAAGTGGAGAAAGTTGGCGCATCCCTAAACATTCCAGAAGATAGTAGAGAGTTGTGCCTGGGAACTACTGGTCAGTCCGAGAAGATTCTGTAAATAAGCGCTAGCAAATAAACCTTGGTGATTGAACCTGCACGGTCTCCAGGAGTTCTTTGGGCTAGGCCTGACAGAGAGGGAGTCAAGTCAGAAGAAGAGACTATCACTAATCTGGAGGCCTCTCTTCTCTCTTAGTGCCCTCCGTTATATCTCCCCAGGCCCAACACAATCAGGATAATGTAGCCTAGGTCCCCCCTTCAAATCACCCCAAGCCCCAACTCCCTGAAATATGGGAGCCAATTTCCCATCCCAGTCCTCGCATCTCCCCATTCCACCCAACCCTATAGAGCCAGCAGTCTGACAACAAGACCAATCATACAAACTCATAGGTAGAATAAAGGAAGTAGTCCGCCTCCTGTACGGGACACAGGGAATGGCCTTGAGGGACAGAAGGTCAGATAAAAGAGGCCTGAGTCCACGGCAGGAATGTAACTTGAGCAAACGTCTGACAAGCCTCTCCCCAGTTCTCACGAAGATAAAGGGAGGGAGGAGGGAAGCACATTCAGGCTTGCAAGATTCTGTTACTATAGCTTTACAATACTGACCTACATGACATTGGATTCCTACTTTGATCTACCTTGGAGGGCTGGCCCCTCCCTTCCCACCTCTATGTTCTCTACAATAACAAGCAATACAAAAACAGTGCAGAATCCAAACCAAAACACATCCATCCAAGAGGGACACAATGCCCAGAAGACACTCCCTTTATCCCCATACATCCCAGGCCCCTTCCCAGCCAGCTCTCTCACTGCTGGCCAGGCAGTCCTCGCTCCCCCAATCTCTCACCCAGGGGGCTGCACCACCCCAGACAGACCAGCTCTATGAACTCCACTGAGACACCATAGGGATCCAAGGGGAACGAAAGGAACACAGCCCCATATATACATATATCAGGTATAGATGCTAAAGGAGACCATCCTGGGCCCAAACCCAATTGCCAGAATCCCCAAACATTGGGGTCCTGGAAGTACTTCTCCCTGAGTACCCCAGCCCAGTGTGATGGGCTGGCCCAGCTAGCTCAAACTTTGAGCCAGAGAACCCCCATTTTGTCCATCTTTTACTCCTGAAGCCCCTTTACCCTACATTGCAAAATTCTTGGAATAACCAAGTGGTTCCTGTTACCAAGGAACTCGTATCATCCTGACCCAAATCAGCCTTAGACTCGAGAGCAACTCCCTTTTCCTGACTAGATAAGTTTAAACTGCATTCTCCAGTTGACCTTATCAACCAAAGATAGAAGGGGAGGGGGCTGCCACACCACAGCAAGAAGCCCATCGCTGGCAAGGGTCTGCCCAACCAGGGGTGTGAATAATTTACAGCCTATTGCCTGCTAATGATCACGTGCTTTTGTTTCCACCAGTGTATAAAAACTACGCTGATTTGTGTTATTGGGACTCTTGATTTGTGACTTGGGTCTCAAGAGTGCCTCTTTGTCACTGTGCAGAATAAACAGGTTGCAATTTCCCCATTTGTGTGTGATTTTGGCTCTTCACACCAGGTGAAAGATCCCAGCATTTGACTGGTCGAATCCACAGCTTGGCCAACAAGCGTGTTCCACAAAAGATGGAGCAAACAACCCACAGTAAAGTCATAGCAAAGGTCCAGGAGAAACAAGATGACAGGCCCCCTCTCATGAGGGCCATCTATCTCTCCTGCACAGCCACTCCTCTTCCTCCAGAATCACAAAAAGATCCACATGGTTCCAGAGATAGACAACAAATACATGAAGCAGCCAATGATGGAGAATTATTTATTTATTTATTTATTTGTCACATTTATATGGCCGCCCATCTCACACGACTCAAGCGACTTGCCCCGGTAGTCACCAAGGTGCCCGAGCAGGTCCTAACTTGGCAGAACCTAACAAACCGAAAACAAATCAAAACAATCCAGCAAAACTAACAGAAAAAGCTCCATAACCTAACCTAAAATAAACTAAAAACTCTCCTTGTGCAAAGGGCTGACCTCCCTGTTGCCATCTTGGGGAAAAAAATTACCACTTCATAGTCAGGTGGAGTATGGGCTCATCAGTGTTGAATAGTAGTTGGTGGAGGAGATGGCAGGAACCACAGGGCCCCAATGTGAGTCTTCCCTACTCCACAGGAACCTTACCTGACTTGTAGTAGTGGAACTTGGAACTCCGAGTATCTACTCCAACAGTAACTGGACCAATCATGGCCACAGCCCGCTGAAGGCTATCTTCATCCTTCTTCATGATGAAACCAAATCCTCTACATCTGGTGACAGCTTCCTCAGGATCATAGCGACAAGTCTGATTATCCTGCAGAAAAAAAGAGTTATCATAACAAAATGTTGCTGTTGATGGGCCTAGGAAGGAATTGTTTCCATTCGTGACTAAAAGTGCTTCCATCCTCTTGCTGGGGGCATTTTCAGCTAGAGAAATAAAGCAAAGTAGTTCAGCTGAAGCATGCACAGGAATGGGCTGGGATATACACAGATTTACTCATATATTACCATTCCAACATAGGGGTAGGTTTTCTCCGAATTGATTCCTCCTTGTTTCTTCACATACTCAAAAGCTCGGTGCATATATCCACCCTGGCATCCTATATTCCCCTGCTCCTCAGAGCAGTCGATAAGGTTTTGTTCGCTCAGCGAGACCAGCTTCCCCGTCTTCTTGAAATGCATAGCTTCCAGAGCGCCAGTGGCACTGAAGGACCAGCAAGACC